TATGAACAAAAGTAAGATATTTAGTTTTTGTTTAATCAAAACAAACTAATCTAAAAATCTCGATCATTTTATATTACGCAGCAAAAAAAAACACGAAGAATATGATCAATGTAGTAAGTTATATAATTTAGTTTTTTTTTTATTAAAGTAAAGAAAATAAAATCAAGATAATTAAATTCATTTTCATACTTAGACATTAGTTTTTATTTGGATTACCTAATGAAAAATAAAATGAGATCATTAGATATTATAATTTTTAGATGATAATTACATAGAAACAAAAATCAAATGAAATAGTTTGGTTTTTTTTTTTGATAGAATAATCAGCATTCGCTATGAACTTTGAATGAAAAAGCATAGATTAGGATTTTTTCCTAAATATTTCTTTTTTTACTTAATGAACTGTAAAAAATAATTTTATTTGATACAGCATATTTTTTTCGCATCATAGAACTTACACACAGTCATCTTATTAAGTTAAATACTAAAAAAGAAAAAAAGCGTCTTTTATTTTAGATTATTATGTTAATATACTTAATAGATTTTGAGTATAATAAAGTTTTATTTTCAGACAATAGTATGTTAATGATTAAATTCATTAGTTATTCCAATAATTAATTGAAATCGGATTTCAGAATCTATGTTGTATTTTGTTTGAAATATTTCTTTTTAAGTATAGTCTCATACAATCTCATTAACTATTTCTTGCGGATATAAAATAAAGAATAAGAAAGAATAAATATAGATTAATATGAGTCCAATTTAGAAACAAAACAAAAAAAACTCTCTAAGAAATATGAGACATATTATGAATGGAAAACTGATTTTTAAACTTTTCTCTATTACCATTAATAACCAAGAATTACCTTTCTATCTATTGTTTCTTATCTATAATTTATATAATGATTTCCGTAGACGAACTCATTTTTCAGTCATGACAATATTTAAGCATATATTTCCTTTTCAATATTATAAATTCTATTTCGTTGCTTGTTTAATAAAATCTCCACTTTTACTCTATATTCTTTCTTTTGACATTGTGCGTGTTTTATTATCGTGACATATAAATATATCTCTCTTGAGATGCAACTAGATGTAATCCTAAGTAACACTATAAGATGACTGATAATGAAATGACTATGATAAGATGAATAGAGTATGAATGAAAGGTTCAGCTATGTATTGAATAATATAAAGAACAACAATAAAGTGAAGATGACATTCAATAAGAGAGATGAAAGTAGCAGAGAAGAACACAAAAAAGAAAAGCATGTAAAGAAGTAGTAATAGATTATATATAAGGAAGTCAAGATAAATTTAAAATTTCGAAGAAAGTGTGCGTGTGATGAAGGATCAAAGAACTAAAAAATAATGCATAAAATATATGAGTCTAATAAAACAAAACAAAAAAGAATATTAGACAACAAAGAAATTGAAAACATAAATCATTTGTGCGCACAACAAAAAGAAAGAATAAAGGTCATATTTTACTTTTTGTTCTTCAATTATTTCTCTTTCTCTCTACCATTATTATTCCATTTCATATTTAAACTACACCCACACATATACCTTTGATTACTTAACTTACATAGAAATTTAATGTATTCTATACAGCAAAAAAAGTTTGTTAAGATGTTACGTTAGTGAAGAAAAACTTCTTTTTTTTTTTGTTTTCTTGTTTTTTATTTGATACTATTAAACATTGACAAATGAATCTATTTGTATAGATTTTTTTTTTCTAGAGCCTTTTTGCGAAAGGAAGAAACTATTAAAAAAAGACTCGCTATCGTGCAAATATAGTCTAGAAAATCCTATCTATTCATTAAAGTTTGACATTACTAAGTAAGAAGAAGAAAAAAAAAAGATGAACGCTACAGATTATTTTCTTTCTTTTTTTTTTTTTTAATAACATGTGACTATACAAGATATATTAGTCATTTTTTATCAATATATTCTCTTTTTATAAGACGCAAATGTTCATAGTAAGTCCATTGATCGCAAAGAACAAAACTTTGTAATCTAAACATGAAATCAAATGATAATGATAGACAAAAATAATCAAAAAAACAATTAGATATGCTGTTTATTTTAGTCGAAATGATATATATATATATATCGGTGCACTTTTAGCATGTTTGCATGTGTACTAATTGACATGAATCTACTTGATAGTAGTCTGTCAATTTTTTACTATTTATATACGCAGTAGTAAGTATATGTAATATTATCTTCGAACGTCAACCAATCAACATTTAGAAATAGAGTTGTTTTTGCTTTATTATCATCTATTAAAATTTTAATGGAATATTATTTTCTTCGGATAGATGAATAAATCTAAAATTTATTTCAATTAGATGTTGTTTTTTTTGCCTTGGAGTGCATTTGTAGATAAAAGATATATTTATTCCTTTTCTTTTTTTTTCTGTCTAGTAATTTGAATTATAACAAGTACATTGGTTAAGTTCATTGTGAAAAGAGAAACAGAAAAAAAGCTTTTCTTTTATTCGTAGAAACATAAGTTTTAACAGTGAGTCGAGTGATATTTATTTTCTAGAAAGTGTATTGAGTACAATATATAAAATAATAAGTAGAATTCATATTCAAAGAATATGTCTTTTTATTTTTAAAATTAAGTATTTCTAATTATAAGATTATGATTATATCTAGGTTTTATAAGAACTTGTATTTCTCATTTCAATTATTTTAATGGATATATTAATAAAAATTATTGTAATCTTGTTATACAAAATAAATATTCTTGGTAAGTATATATTAAACTTATTCGTTGATTTATTTATAAATGTATATATTAATACATACATATTTTAGTTAATAGTATCGTTTATATTTGCAAATATCACCATAATTTGTATTTGCATCCTTTTTTTTTTGTGTTCTATTGTAAATTGAATCAAAGCCGATTTCTGGTTGACTGCATCCTTTGTATGATAAAAATAAGTCATTTAAAAGAATATAAATTTGGCCTTTTTAAGGAGGGAAGGTGGGAGGTGGTAGTATAGTAAAGATAGGAAAACCTAGATATTCGATGGAAATATATCGTGTTTTAATTATGGGATACCAGTTGGTTACGGAAATGAAGATCTAGAGAAATAGATTTGAAGATTGAACAAGTATATGCTTTTCTCTTTGTTAGTCATGCATATGAATAGAACGGAAACATAGCTGTGAGCTAAAAAAAAGTCATTCTCACACCATGATAGTCAATAATACGATCTTAATCATAAACATGTCAAAAGAAAATATCAAAAAATATTCTGTAGAAATAGACATCACTTTTTGTTCATTATATATAATTGCTTGTCTTCATTTGTTTTTTCATATTAGTCGTCCTTAACTAAATAATAATGTCAAATAACTGTTTATTCACATTAGTTTTTTGTTTTTTGTTTTTTTTTGATGACAATAATGACTTGTTTGTTACATTGTTCATGATTTAATTTGATTTCAACTTATATTTGACATAATTATGTGATCGAAATTTGACATTACAATTTGAATTTATTTTTGAAGTTTAATTTAACTGTAAGCATCATATATTGACTTTTTTTTTTTTTTCTTTACAAACAAAAAATATTAAAAAAATACTGAATAACTTAAGTTACTTTTATCAAAATTTTGTTTCCAAAAAAAAAACATGTAATTGAATTTTTCTTTATATAATTTTAAAATTGTTCTAAATATATATTATTCTATTCAAACAATTTACTTGTTTAATATTAGAAAAACTAATCTATTTAAAAGTGCTATCTATAAATTTCTGATCTTCACTTTTCATATGAATTTCTTCTTCAATACACTCGAATAAATCCATACAATATTTCATATAAGAATAGTTATGTTGCTAAAAAAAAAATGCAACTATGATGAATATAAACTATAAATGTGATCAATGAAGAGTGAATTATTGAATCAGACAATAGATAGTTTAAAGCTATTCTAGAACAGATTAAGTAATATAGAAATTATTTTCTTTTTTTTTTTTTATATTAGTATATTTAATCTTTCAAAATATAGTCACTTAGTATAATCAAGATCAATCTAAATAATTTTGAAAAATTTAAATTTAAATATCGAACAAATAGTTTGAACTGCAACACTTAGATTATTAATAGAACATTGTTACTTATAATCGGATTAGATTAAAACGACATATATTTAAGAGAAACATGCTTATATTAGTTGACATGATTATTTTTCTTTTTTTGTTTCAAACATATTTTTTCTTTTGTTTGAGAAAATAAAACAAAAAAAAGAAAAGAAACTAAGATTCTATTTAGTTCTATAGAAGAAAATAGGAAAAATATGTTACTTGAAAATATTAAAAGTGATTCTTAGCATATCTTAACATACGTTAAGTTGACTGTTAATTATAACAAATTATGACTTTTCTAGTAGATACTTTTTTTTTTTCTTTCTTCTAGATGAATAAAATGATTATAAAAGAAATCATTTTCTCAAACTATAAATTACTATCTAATTAAAAGTAGATATTGAAAAGAAGAAAAAGAAACATCACACGATCGATAGAAACATAAATTACATATAACAATACACATATATATCTATTATTAGTAGAGAGTAAAAAGGGAAAAGCTTATGAACACAGGAAAGAGAAAATCTCTCTTAGTTTTTTGTTTTGCTTTTGACACATTTGCTATTACGCATTGCATGTTATACTACCGCTATTTCATTCTTATTCTTTTCATTGCTATTATTAAATAATGACAGACGTAATTTGATTGTACTGACATTGATTCGTCAGATATAAGAAATTATGATGTGTACGGATTGATTTTCTTTCCTTCTGTTTTTGTTGTGGTGTTAAACAAGTTCGATTATCATGATGTATATATGTAGAAAATGTAACTTCGCATGATGTCTTTTACAGATAATATATTATTATATAAACTTATTCTTTCTCAATAATTATTAATTGTTTAATGTAATTAGTAATACAACTACATATAGATTCAAATACAATGAACAAGTATGTATCATATATTTAATTTGAAAAAAAAACAAAAAAACTCATATTTTTGTTTTCCATAGTTCAACATCACCTAATCACTCAACATCCTCATTAGAAGAATGGGGAAGTTTATTATTAATAAATCGTATTGTTTATCGTGGTTATTTTCTATTTCTTATTATGGCTGGTACATGTGGTAATCTTTTAACTGCTATAACACTTCTTCGTGTTAAATTACGTAAATATACAACATGTCAATTTATGGCTGTTTGTGCTTTATTAAATATAGGTGTTTTATTAACAAATACACTTAATATGATGTTATCACAAGGATATGATATACATTTACGTAGTCAATTTGATTTTGCTTGGTGTCGAATAAATGCATTTGTTGCTCAATGGATACGTGGTATGGCATCATGGATACTTGTTATTGTTGCATTTGATCGTTTTCAACAATCAAAAACAATTCGACGTACACCAACAAAAAATAAACATACTGTTTTATATACAATAATTATAACTGGTTTAATTCTTTTATTATTAAATTTACATTATCTTTTATTTACTGGAAATAAAGTTGTTTTATCTGAAAATACAACATTTTTAGCATGTATTTTTGATAAATATAGTGAAAATAATTTTCAAAAATTTTTTGCATCAACAAGTACATGGCAAGAACTTGTAACATATATTATTCTGGTAAGTTTTTAAGAATAGATTTTTATTTTAGTACATTTATTCTAAGATATAAATAGATAACAAAAAGAAAAAAAAACCGTAGTATTTTGTTTTTTTGAGAAGTACCTAACGAAATTTTTTAAACTATGTAAGTCTTCTATAAAAGAAAACAATAATCTCTTTTATGAATGACTTATTACAAATATTATAGGATTAATAATAGTTCACTAGGAACTAATATAAATTATTATTTTTTTTTTGTAGCCATGTATATTAGCATTAATTCTAAATATATTCATAATACAAAATTCATTTTTAAGTCCAATTAATAATGAATATTTAAAATCACGATCAAAAAGTCGTACAAGACGTGTAACAACAATGTTACTTGCATCAAATATTGGTTTTTTAGCACTGGTTGCACCAGCACAAATTTTTTATGCTTTATCATTTGATCCTCAACGTGGTATGCAATCTTATGATGAATATAAATCATTTATAATACAAGGAAATATTTATCAATGTTTAATTAATACATATTATGCAGCTTCATTTGTTTTTTGTTTTGCATCATCATCAGTATTTCGATGTGAAATAAGTAAACTTTTAAGTAAACATTATAAACCAAAACATTCACTTGGTAGTGGTACAGGTGAAATATATTCATCACATGAAAATCGACCATTTATAAATCAACCACGAATTAGTGGTTTTCATCGTTCAAATAGTAGTCAAAATGATGATTATTTATATGGAAGAAAAAGTTTAAAACGAGCTACGGAATCAACGATTGAAACAGATGGATTTACATAACAGTAATTTTTGTTTTGTTTTCATCAATGTCCGGTTTACGCAGTGTGCGGTGATGTTTTCTATTTTTTAATTGTATCTGTGAAAATGAACGCACATATAATATCTTTTGATGTTGTTGCTTGGTATTAATCTATATTAGAGTTCTACGAATCAAACATTTAATTTTGCATTTCAAATATCTTAAATTAGAACAAAAGATTTTAATCTGAATCAATGTATTTATTCAGTTAGAAATGCAAAAGATAATGAAAATTATTCAATGAAAGATAGATTATTCTTAGAAATCAAAATATATGCCTATTATTGTTGTTTTCTTAGAATAAGAAAAAAAAAACACTTCATGACATTAAGAACTATCTCGTAGAACTCTAATATATATATATATATATGTTTATTTATTTATAGATGTTTGTTATAATGATCAAAAGAATAATACTTGAAACGGAATTTTATTCTATTGTTTCTTATATGATTCTTCTATTTCATTTGTTTTGACATAAAAAGAAAAAAAAAAAATAAGAGTAAATCCATTAGTATTTTGAACATCGATGTTTTTAGTATATTCAAGAACAGACATGACATTATTTTCTCAGTTTGCTTATCATAATAGTTCTTATTTATTCAGTTAATCTACTATAGCTAATATGAAAGCGAAAAACAAATCAAATGTACTAACCCTATTTTTGACAAACGGATTTGTTTTTGACATATATATATATACAGAAGAAAAATGATATTACCAAAAGACATGAATGAGTTTTTTTATTAATTAACATACTTCAAAAATATAATGAAAGAAAAGAAAAAATATATATATCAACGATGTAGTTCATTGACGTTGCATTCATTCATATCATCAAATAATATTTACTCAATAACCTTTTCTTGTTTTCTTTTTTGTTTTGTTTTGTATCTGATCTAAGAATTTTATTACTCAAGAATCTTTTCTAATAGATAATTATAGAATAAAACATTAATTTAACATTAAGTTCTATTTAAAAATCCTTTCTACATTAATCGAAAATATGTTACAAAAAAAAAAAAAAAAGAAAAGCATAAGTTTTCTTTTTCCTATTACATCTATTGTAACTTATAATAAAGTCTTCAATAAATATGATGTGAGAGATATTCTTATAGACAAAAAATAAAATAAAATAAAAGAAAGAATTCTTTATCTTTCGAATAGAAATAAGATCTAATCAATTTTATTTAATAATAATTTTTGTCTCGTTAAGAATACTTTTTATAATTAACTTTGAATAGTAAATAATTGTGAATCTATATGTTAGAGAAAAATTTCAAAAATCAATACATTAATAAAATCATATCTCTTTTTATAGATTAATAATTCAACTATTCATGATTTTTAGATAATTGTATATAGAACAAAAAATATAGATGTACTTGTTAATCTAAAGAATTTTATGTAAAATATTACGATATAATTAAATAGATAATTAATAAGTTGGAAAGGACTTTTATATTATTAAGCTTTAATTAAAATATATAATTTACAACGAAAAAACAATAATACGTAGTAATTATTATGTATTTCTTCAATTGAACGAGATCTAATACATTCATATAATTACAGTTATATTAATTTATTTCAATAATAAGCAATTCAATTTGCAAAAGAAACTCAAAAACAATTATTTTTAATGAATAGTTCAAGAAAAATCGGTCTCTTTGTATTGTAATGATATCTCATATAATATGCATTCGTTCCTGACTTTGTCTTCTTTGTCCGAAAAAAAATTTTTGCTTTGTAATTCTCTACAAAATAATGTTTCTTTGTTATTTATGTAAATAACATTCATTATTAGAGTGTGGACCTACCATCCATCTAAAGCGACATCTACACTCTCACCCACACCCTAATGAATGTTATTTACATAAATGAAACAAAAAAAAGTACTCATATCTGTAATATAAAACTCATCTAGTTAATGTTCCATGTAATTCAAAACTGCCAATATACCGAGAAATATTCTCTGACTGGCAATCTACTTGCCGATATACCGTGGATTCTTATGAGTATCGCGGAATACCGGCAGTAGTAGTGCAACATGGATACTTTCTTCGAATTCATCCTTACGAGGGAATCATTTCAACTAACCTTAAGAGGACCCCCCCCCCCTTTCCGAGGTTCCTCGTGAACGGCTCGGTGAAACTTTAAGGATAGATAGATCTCGATGAGTAGAGCAAAAGTTGTCATAGATTCAGAATTCGAAAATACTTCCTTTCCAGAGATACTTGCGACCCAAGGGCGAAAAATGACCTGAAGTTTCCCCCCCTTTTCCGCAAACTCTCATACTTCATTGTTTAGAGCTGAATTTTTTTCTACGGAAACTAGGAACAAATTGGGGTGTGTCTTATTTTTTCTCTGGAAAATATCGTTCCTGAGGGTTAGAAGAACCAAATTACTGACGGCACTATCAAAAAATGGGTTTTTTTCTTATAGTGCCAATTTTGTGGTCCCTAGTAAAATTCCTTAGGAAGAATATTTTCGAGAGAAAAAAAAAGGGATACCCAAATTTGTTCAAAGTACTCACAGTAAAAATTTGAGCTTGATTGGTTAGAGTGCGAGGGGAGAAAAGGGAGAAAGCTTCATTTTTTTTGTTGAAAAAACTGATTTTGAGAAAAACGCAAAGAAATTTCTGTTTTTTCAGCATATTTTGTGATTTTTTTATATATAAGGTGTGGGTTTTCAGTTCTCAAAGTGTATGCTCAATGGATAGAGGACATTTAAATCTAGATACTAATCACAAAAAATGAAAAATGTGAAAATTTTGAATCGGGAAGGGGGTCCCCTTAAGGTGGTATTTTGACTTGAAATTTTGCTTGCAAATAGGCTTATTCGTAATTAGAATATTGTAACAATATGTTGATGTATTCTGCTGTATAGGTCAAGATTCTGTTAAAATAATTATAACTTCGATCGGAAGATCTAATGACGATCATTCTTTTGGAGTTCACCTTATATGCGCAATGTCCGAAATCAAAAATAATTTCAATACGAATCAAACAAATAGATAATCATATTGATATATTATGTTTTTTTGGTTTTTATTTTAATCTTAAATGTGGTGCTTGAAATAGAATAAATCCAAATACGAATATTGTACAAATTAAAAATAAATAAACAAGTAAACGATCAACAACTTGTCCTAATATTTGCCATTCTTGTGCAAGTTTTGTCTTACGTTCTTGTTCTTCACATCGACGTTCATTTTTTTCAATAAGACGATGTATATAATGAATTGATGATTTGAAATTATTATTATTATTATAATTAGATTTTTGTATTTGTTGTTTAGATGTATAAGAACGAAGAACAAGTGGTATTGATGATTTATGAATATTATCAGAAGATGTTACTGTTATTTTATCATATTCAAAAGAATCTTCATCTAATGTTATTGGACCATTATGTAATGAATTCATATTTTTTGTTATATTTGTATAATCATCTTCAAATTGATTTTTTCTTGATGATGTTGACTTAAAAAAAAACAATAAAATTTTATTTTTTAAAAAGAAAATTTTCTTTCGTTGTTACTGTAGGATTAAGAATATTATTTCGTCGTTGTTGTTGTTGTTGCCAACGTGCAGGTAACTCAATATTTATAAAAAGAAGTTTAGGAATAATGAAAAAAAATAATTGAGCTATCCATTTTGGTACAGGATAAACATTTTTTCTACCATGATGATATAAATTAAGTGAAGCAACAGACATAGCTGTTGCTATACTTACAATCATAATTCCCGAAAGATAATAAACACCTGAATAAAATAAAAGAACAATTAATTTATATTGAATATCTTTTTTCAAGATTCAAAGAGTAATACATTTCAATGTTTGATATATGTCAAATTTTACTGATCGAATTCGAATGTCGAATATTGATTGTAAAAAATTCATACTAATAAACGAATACAATTTTCTTATTTAGTAATGATTATTTCGTAACTTAAAATATTTCAACTTAAACTAATGCTTATAATTTGATTGAATGGTTAGAAAAAGTTATTTTTTATCATTAGAATTTTAATTATTACTTCGTAAGAGAGTCTCTAGTATTTAGAATCCTATTTACGTTGCCGATACAATGTATAGAAAGTTATTTTTTGTTTTCAGTCAATGATATTCAATATTATATATTTTTATTTAAACCCTGGAGTGCTCATAGCTATTTCAAAAAAAGCTTTAGATAAAGTGAACATAGAGATATAGTATTGTTTTCTAAAATATGCCAATAATATAAATGAATTATAGGGCATCTTGCATTTTATGCAGGTCACTGCAATACCAATATGAGGACTGACTTTTTTTGTATACATTATTTTTTTTTTTTAATAAATCGATAAATGATATTATTTATAGATGCACTCATTATATGTCATTGGTAGACGCGATCGGGGAGTGTGAACCTATGCGCCGATTCTAATATTGCCACGAGCGACATTAATCTATTAATAGTTAGGCATGATTTCAGCAGAGCTATTAGTCAGAACTAATTATTCTGTTTCAATATTTATCTCATATTCTACTAAGAACGATTTTTACCATTGTCGTTATTTCAAATTCGATAGGACAGAGATTGAAAGCATCTACTAATTCATTAGAATGATAAATCAAGTAAATTATTGATTTAGCTATGCCTACGTATCAATAAATATCAATGATATGTTAGAAAATAGTACATTCACTTATGTTACTTGTATAAATAATCATCAATTTGTATCATACAGTACAGAACTGTCAACCTAGCCTGAATGACATGTCGCCAATTTTTATGTGGATTGATCGATTTTGATTAAAATACTTTAGTAAATTCATTGAAGTTAAAGTTTTACTTCAAATTCTGATAATCAAAGTTAGAATGATATGTTTTAATTCTAATACAACCATCTATTGCATATCTCGATTATGCGAGTTTTGTTATACACACATTTGTGAATGTATCACTTCACTTTATACTGTGATGAATGACAAG